TCCTACCACACTGGGAGCTCCCGGGTGCAGAGCCCCTGGCCTACATCTCTCTCCCTGAACCTATCAACCAACAGCCAAACACATAGCTGGGGACTGAGTATGTGCTCCTGGGTGTTTCCATTAACCTGAACTGGGGTTCCTTCCTGCCCGGCCCTGGGCTGCGCCCTGACCTGATCCCTCTGCCCTCTGGGGTTCCAGGCAAGTGTCAGCTCTATCCTCAACCCTGTGTGTCCAGGGCTGTTATGGGGCTGTGTCCTGGGGCAGCCACATTGGCCTGAGAAGGGACAGGAGCTGAAGCCCAGGGGAGCATCCAGAGGCCCCAGGCTCTCTTCCTTTCCTAAGCTTCCCTTTAGTGTCTTTGGAACTTTGAAATGCCTCACTGGGTCTTGCAGAAGTTCCCATCCAACCACCATACTCTTTCTAGGCTCACCAAGGGAAAGACTGGTTTTCTTCCTCTCTCATAGAATGATTACATTTTGTCAGGTTCTGGCTGAACAGCTCACCCACCACACCCTCCCAGCTGCTTAATTCAGCCAGGTCATTCGGACCTCAGTTTGGGAACCCCAAAACTAAACCAAACCATTGCCATCAAGTAGACTCTTGGGAGACCCCACGTGTCGCTCCACAGGGCTTTCAAGGCTTTATGGAGCAAACGGTTAAGCACTCGGCTGCTAACTAAAAAGTTGGTGGTCTGAACCCCCCCAGAGGGGCCTTGGAAGAAAGGCCTGGCAATCTGCTTCCAAAAGCTCACTGGCTGGAAAACTCTATGGAGCACAGTTCTACTCTGACACACATGTGGTCGCTATGAGTTAAGAGTTGACCTGACGGCCAACTGGTTTGTTTGTTTTTACGTTTAGGAAGCAGATCACCAGGGTTTTCTTCCAAGGTGCCTCTGGGTGGGTTCAATGGGTAGGTTCAAACTGCCAACCGTTTGGTTAGTAGCCAAGCACTTAACCATTTGAGCCACCCAGGGATCCTGAGGAATTTTAGGCCCAGAGAATAAATCCAGTAGCCCAGCCTGAAAAGGAGGTTAGGCCCCACCCTCTCTTCCAGCTCTTCTATGTACTCCCTAGATTAACCCGGCTCACAGAATTAATTCCCTTCTCTTGCCCTTCCTCAAGCCCCTCCTCTTCCTACCTCCTTTCTGAAATCTCTACTAAAATCCCCTGTCCACACCAACCCTTCCTTCTTCCATGGCCCCATGGGAATCTGCCTCAGTTTACCTCCCTCCCTTTGGATGTGGCAGTCTGCTTCCGTAAAGATTTACAGCCTCGGAAACCCGATGGGGCAGTTCTACTCTGTTCTATACGGTCGCTATGAGACAGAATCAACTCAACAACAATGGGTTTGCCGTAGAACTTTCCTAGATGGGAAGGGCCCTTGGGGCAGAAAGAGCCTCACACATCTCCAAGTTCCCTGTGCTCAGCAGGACTCAGAAGCCACAGCAGTCTGTTAGGATCAGAATGCAAAGCAGCAGGGATAAGAAGCCACCCTGATCCCTTCTCCCTAGTGGGTGTGACTGGAGAACAGGAACAACCAAGCACAGACAAGGAAACAAAATCTCTTCCAGGCTGGGCCCCCACGGGCGGGTCAATTTAACCCGACACTGCCCAGATCCCTAGGTTCGGCTATATCCTGAACTACTGTTCCCTTCACACTTTCCCTTAAAACTGACACCCCCTTATTTTTTTCTTGAAAAAAGTATATTTAGATTTTTGTTCTACATCACAGCACACACTGAAAACTTGCTCTAATAGGTTAATACAAAAAAAAAAAATAAGAGCATGATGTTATTAAATTATAATTCGGTCTGGCACACTGCTGAAGGCTCTGAGCCTAAGATCTACCCTCTCTTTGCTACGGTTAAAACCAAAAACCAAACCAGTTGTCTTCCAGTTGATTCTAACTCATGGTGACCCCATGTGTTGCAGAGTAGAACTGCGCTCCATGGAGTTTTCCAGGTGGTGACCTTTCAGAAGCAGCCAGGCCTTTCTTCCAAGGCATCTCTGGTGGGTTCGAACTACCAACCTTTGGTTAGTAGTTGAGTGCTTAACCGTTTGTGCCATGCTAGGGTTCGAAACCAAGAGCAAACTTGTTAAAAAAACCTGTTGCCATCGAGTCGATTCCGACTCACAGCAACCCCATTGGACACCTTTTAGTTAGCAGCCATAACTCTTAACCACTTTGCCACCAGGGTTTCCAAGAACAAACCAGTTGCTGTCAATTTTGAGTCATGGCAACCCCACCCCATTGTGACAGAGTAGAACAGCTCCATGGAGTCTTCTTGGCTTGTAATCTTTATGGAAGCAGATCACCACATCTTTCTTCTGCAGCACCGCTGAGTGGGTTTGCACTACCCAGGGACCTTAACCAGTTGCTGTCCAAGTCAATTCCAACTCATGGCAACCCCAGGTGTTAGAGGGTAAAGGCAGACTAGCACCAAACTGACACTTTTTGCTTGATATAATCGAATGTACTACAAGAGATTTGCAAGGGAAATGGCTTTCCCTCTTGGTGATGGCATGTCCTGGAGCCCCTTTACATCATCCCAAGGGCATCTTACTCCAAAGTTGGCCTGAGGGAAGGTGGGTGCTGGCCTGTGTAGGGAGTGAGGCCCTGGAGGGCTTGGGTGTGATTCTGTAGTACTGCAGACCACCACCGCATTATCACCTGATGCCTACACAGACCTGCCCACCTCCCTGGCCTCTTCTCTCCTCTCTCCCATCCCTCGGCCCCTCAGTCCCTGCTCCAGCCACGTGGCCGACCTGCCGGCAGTTTCCAGCCTCCAGGATTTTGACCTTCGCTGTTCCCTCTACCAATCTCATACCTCTCCACTCCCATGGCCAGGCTGGCTTCCTCCCACCCTTCTAGTCTGGGGCAGGAAGGGGTTTTCTTCCTCTGCGAGTGAGCTAAGTATGCTGAGATTCATGCATAAAACAATAGAACAGCACTCAAAATACACAGTGGCCACAACTCAAGAATATCAACGATCATGAAGATGGCGTAGGACCGGGCAATGTTTCGTTCTGTTGTACATGAGTCGGAACTGACTTGGCGGCAACTAACAAGAACATATTAGAACGGGTATAAGAAATCTTGGCAATGATAAACATCAACTGGTTGGCGTCTCTGGGGAGAATGAGGTGGTGTGATTGGGGAAGGGGAGCCAGGGGGCCACAACTGTATCAGTAATGTTTCATCTTACTTTTCTTAGATAAGAGTTATTTATTAAAAATCATGGTGAAATAGCATTAAAATAAAATAGGAAATAATAATAAAATAAAAATAGAATGGGCCACAGGACAGATCACTGTGCTGGGCCCCTCAGTGCTGTGTGAGCTTGGGCAGGTGACCCAACCTCTCTGAGCTTCAGTTTGCTCATCTGCCAATGTGGTTAACACCAGAACTCCCCTTTCAGGACCACTGTGGGTGTTCAATGCAGCCCCATGCAAACAGCCCTGAAGTGTGAAAAAGAGCATGCAGAGGGCAAAGAAAGCATTCAAGGAGGAGGGGCTGTGTCATGGATTGAATTGTGTACCCCAAAAATATGTATTGTCATTCCTAACCTCTACGCCTGTGGTTATAATCCCCTTTGGGAATGGGTTGCCTTTGTTATGTTTATGAGGTAGGATTAGCGTTGGCTGTGTCTTGAGTCAATCTCTTTTGAGATTTAAAATGGATTAAACAAGCAAGAGAAGCAGAGATGGGGTAAGATAGATGCCACAACCGGATCTTCAAGGAACCAAGAAGCAGAAGCTGAAGAGATAAGGACCTTCCTCCAGAGCGGACAGAGAGAAAAAGCCTTCCCCTAGAGCCAGTGGTCTGAACTCGGACTTCTAGTTTCCTGAATTGTGAGAAAATAAACTTGTTTGTTAAAGCCATCTGCTTGTGGTATTTCTGTTACAGCAGCACTAGGTAACTGAGACCGGCTGTTATTAACATGACCACGTTCTGTTTCTTCCCCTAGCGCAGCACTGGGGCTGCACAGACCTGGGGTCAAACTCCAAGTCCACGTCCTACACCTATGGGGCTTTAGACAAAAGCTTCCCTGCTTGGGCCTCAGTATTCCCATCTATAAAATGGGAGTAATACCCGCTCCTCCCCCTGAAGGTGGTTGTCAGAGGGATGCTGCCCATGAAGGCTCAGAACAGGGCCTATCCACAGTGACCTCGATAAGGGCGGATGTGATCTTCACTAACGAGTGCAACGGGCCCAGCATGGTATCTGGCCCGCAGTAGATGCAAAATAACTAGAAACTGGACTTCTTACATATATTTTTTAAAGTATGTACTACATAACACTGTTACCTGCTTGTCAAGGAATTCTGGTGGCACAACAGTTAAGTGCTCAGCTGCTAACTGAAAGATTGGCAGTTTGAACCCACCCAGCAGCTCCATGGGAGAAAGACCTGGTGATCTGCTTCCATAAAGATTATAGCCAAGAAAACCCTAAGGAGCAGTTCTACTCTGTCATATGTGGTCTCTATGAGTGGAAATCAACTCGACGGCACCTAACAACGATAACCTGCTTGTCACTTGAAAACTCAGCCTTTGTTTCTGCTTCCTATGTTCCTAACAGATCCCTCAAACATGCGGAGTGTATTTTTTACCTCCACATGGCTCCTCACTCCCCTTGGGCCCCAGGCCCCTCACTTTGAGGCCTGGTTCAGAAACATCACTGACAAGGCTGAGCAAGGGCTCCCTTTATTCACTGGGGGTGGGCTTGGGAGAAACAGTGCAACTTTATAAAGTCAAGGATGCCAGGGAAGCAAGTCTGCCAGGGGCAGAAAAGCACAAGAAGCTTGCCGGAACTTTCCGGGCCCCCTGACATGCCAGCCATGGCTGCCAGCGGGGAAAGGTGCTGAGTGGACCTCGGGATGAGATCGGGGTGCCCGCTCTGTGTGAAGCTTGGGGCTGCATCCATCTGTCTCGTCATATCCAACAGTGTGCAAAAAACCTGGAAATCTAGTCACACGCGATCCCGTAAGAGGGTCTGCGTGGCGTCTTGTGGCCTAAGAAGCGTTCTGGCTGTGTGGGATTGGACGGGCATTTCCGTCCTTCTGGACGCCAAGGCATCCCCAGCTGCCTCTGCCCTCCCCGCTGCAGGACTCCACCAGCTGGGCCGTCACACGGGCGTCTCCTCGGCCACCTTCTTCAGGAGTCCAGCTGCAAGGGGGGAGTGCTGGGCACCCTCGAAGCCCTCTGCATCCCGGAGCTTCAGGCAGACTTTCTGGTTGGTCCTTCTCCATTCGGAGTACAGCTGGCAATGGTAGCGGAAGGAGACCTGCAGGACAGTGAGGAAGTAGGTGGTGAAGGCCGGGCTGGCTTGCACCCCCACGGGAGGAAAACGGGACCACAGGGCACCCGCCTTGGCCCAAACCAGGCTGGACTCATGCTTCCGGAAGCAGAGGTGGCATCAGGCTCTGCACGCACCCCTCCCTCTCTCCCTGGGCAACTCCCCATCAGCACCCGGAGTCCTGCCAAGGCGAGGTAGGGTCTGCAGCAGGGAAGCAAGGAGACCCCCTCTCTGTCTCTCTCTTTGTCCTCATCATTGTCCCAGTCCATAGGTGGAAGCGAAGGGAGACAGCCTCTCAGGAGGGATTCAAGGTCATGGGCCATACCCTTTAACCAAGCCAGCTCCCAAGAAACATTTGCACAGGTGCTCAAAGCGCTGTTCCCAATGGCAAAAAAAAAAAAAAAAAAAAAACGAAACAAACATTGGAAAGAATCCCAGGGTCTGTCAAAAGTTGGTTAAATAAATACGGTGCACCCAGACAAGGAAAGACCCAGGGAAAAGAATCCATAGTGGGGATGGGGACGGACGGACGGACGGACGGACGGACGGACGGACGGACGGACACACACACACACACACACACACACACACACACACACACACACACACACACACAGTATAGGTGCATGCGTTAACAAATAATTGTGAGGAGGGGACCCCTACATAACAGTGGTTAGACTTTGGGGGACGTTGATCCTTTGAGCCAGAGGTCTAATGCCTGCTGCAGCCAGGACAGCACCCCTGTTCTCTCTCGGTCTCTCTCATTCCTCTGCTCTTTGTCAGTCTTTTGGTCTCTCTGTTTCTCTCGATCTTTCTCTCTCGATTTCTTAATATCTCTCTGTCTCTGCTTCTCTCTCTCTCTCCCTCTCTCTCTCTCTGTCAGGTAAAGGACCTAGTTTTACCATGAGAACGGAGGCCTTTGTCCTTAGCTCCAGAGAAATAAACCTTGGAGGAACTGGGGTGCCTTGATCTGGGACTTCCAGGATTTGTGCTGACAAATGGGGGCTGGCTAGATCAGAGAAGACTCACTTAGAAGACTGATGTCAACTGGCCTCAGAAGGCATGATTTAGCCTCTCGTGCAGGACTGGCCAATAAAAGCCCTGAACACAGAGGCTCAGGGATCTTCCTGTTTGACTAAGAACATCTGCTCTGGGAGGGTAGCGCATCCCTGGGGACATGGAAGCTCCATGGTGGGAACCCTCCCAAACCTCGCCCTATGCATCCCTTTGTTCGCAACCTTTTAGGCTGTAATAAATCTGTTGTCTTAAGTGTGGCACAACCGGTTGCCTTCCAGTTGATTCTGACTCATAGCGACCCTATTGGACAGAGTAGAACTGCCCCACAGGGTTTCCAAGGAGTGGCTGATGGATTTGAACTGCCGACCTTTCGGTTAGCAGCCGAGCTCTTAACCACTGCACCACCAGGGCTCCAAGTATGGCATATTCTCCGTAAATTCTGTGAGCTGTTCCAGCGAATTATCAAACCCAAAGGGACATGTGAGCCAGCAGGTCAGAAGGTTGGGGTGGTGTGTGGACTCCCCAAGCTCGTGGCTGGCGTCTGTCTGTTTGGCAATCTGAAGAACAGTGTCCTTTTGACTTGTGGGTTCTCATCCAGTTCTGGGTGGCTAGGGTCAGAGACAGAGCATGCCGGGGGCGACTGGTGATGAGGACGGAAAACTGGGAATGTGAGGACTGGCTCCATCTCCACATTTTGGGGGCTGGATTCATGCTGATCCTTTCTGGGCATGCCCTCTTTCCCTCCCTCCCCTCCACCCTCTTGCCCCCCAACCTTGACGGACCCATGGATGGTGAGCCCTGCACTCAGGCCTGCTGCTTGGTGTTCTCTTATCCCTGTAGCAGAAGGCTCACAGCTGGCTCAGGGCTGTCCCAAGTCACCCAGAGGCCAGGGCCTTTATCAGGCTTGGAATCTGAGCCCCATGAAAACATGAGGTGAGCTCAGGGGATGGCCCTCATGCATCAGCCCCAGCTCCCACCCAGGGCTGTAAGCAGAGGCCAGCAGGGACTCGGACCCCACTTACCCCCCAGTCCCTGGCTGGGCTGCTCTGAACTGGAGACCCCAGCGGCCTGACCTGCTGCCAACGGCCACTCACCAGTGTCCAGAGGACATAGATGGTGAAAAGGGCGATGGTGAGGGCAATGAGCCCCACAGCTTCCAGCCGGCTGTGAAGCCGGAGGTGGTCCTGGGCTCCCCGCAGGCACAGCCAGCCCGAGATGGCGGCCAGCGGCGTGATGAACAGGAAGCATACCATGTCACAGCACAGTGTCCGCTTCTCCGTCCTCGGCCCCGGGTCCTTCAGCCACTGGGGGAGGGAATGGGGGGCAAAGGAGATGGGGAGAAATGCTGCTGAGGGGGCTACGTGCTCCCTCTAGCGCTGGGCTGTCTCTGCTGACACCCAGGTAGGTCACTGTGCCCTGCTTGGGGGCTCCAGAAACCACTGTTCCTTCCAAAGAGATCTGAAGGACCAGCCCCCTGCCTGGGCACCCCTCTCCCTCCTCCTCCCTCTCTCTTCCTCTCCCTCTTTTCCTCCCTTCCTCCTCCCCTCCCTCCCTCCTTTCTTTCCAATATTTACTGAGCCTACAGTGGCCAGGCATTGCTAGGTGCTGGGCATACAGTTGTGAATGGGATAGAAAGGGTCCCCGGCCTCCCAGAGCTCCCATGCTAGTTGGAGGTACAAAATGGGGTGAGTTGTCAGAGAGGGGACAGCCTTGCCAAGGAGGTGACACTTGAGGAGAATGGAATGACCAGAAGGGGCCTCATGAAGGAGGAGGGAGGTGTGTCCCAGGCCGCAGGAACAGCAAGTGCAAAGGCCTTGAGGTGGGAGTGTGCCCACCCTGGAGCATGGGGACCCAGTGGGAGGGCGTAGGGGCAGGGGCTGGATCTTTCTCTGACTGCTCTGCCAAGAGCCTGCCTCCCAGGGTGGGCCCGGGGCCCCCAGCCTCTGGACTCCCTATCTCAGCCCTGACCACTCTGGTCTCGAGCCTGACTATACCTCTCAGCCACCCCATGCCAGGCTGGAGTTCAGTGGGCATCTAGGCAGCCAGGGGTGCTCTGGGGAGCAGTGAGCTGCCTGCCATGCCTGGGAACCAGGTCTGTCTTAATCCCGACCCATCACACTCAGGCTCAAGTCTGACCCCCTCAGCAAGGCCACAAAGGCTAGGATGGCTTCTGTTGACTCATTTCTCCACTCCAGCCCTCGGGCTTCTTCAAGAGCACCAACCTCTTCCCAGCCTCAGGCCCTCTGAACACGCTGTGCCCATGGGCAGGGCTACCCCTCCCCCAGGTTCTTGGCAAGGCTGGCTCCTTCACATCCCTCAAGTCTCAGCTTGGCCTCAGCTGAGCCTCCAAGTTAAGTCACCCCTGTACTGGTCCCACTGACCCACAACATGTTTCTATCATAGCACTATTGCTCCAGGCCAACAGCTGCCTCATTTCTTTGACTGGGCTGTGTTCTCCATGAGCACCAGCTCCATCTGTCTGGTTGGCAGCTGGGTTCCCATGTCTAGCACAGGGCTAGCCAGGCATCCCCATCAGCAGGATCCACGGTCAGGGGATGTAAGGGGGTAGACTCCACCCTACAGAGAAGCTGCTTCCCCACCCCACCAGGAGCCTCCAGGGCCCCCAAAGTCTGCCTTCCTCCCCTGTGGCCACCCCAACCTCAAGCTCCCAAGGGTACCTCTGTGAGGGGCCGGGGCCGCTTCTCCACCGCAAACTCCGTGTGGCACAGCTCACAGTAGCTAGTGTTGGATGAGGAGAGCCACCTCTCCAGACAGCTCTTGTGCACGGCGCCCAGCGTGCCAGCGCAGCCACACGGAGACAACAAGCTCTCCCCATTGGCTCCCTCATGGCAGATCCGGCAGAAGGGACCATCACTGCACACAGAGACAGGACATGCGAGCAACGACTAGGCTTCCCACCCGTACCTGCTTCACTACTCGCTAGGTGACAAGCTCAGTGTTTCCCCACATCCTGACACTTGGCGAACTCTTACTCATCCTTAAAAGCCCAACTCCAAACGTCCTCTCCTTTGGGAAGGCTTCCAGACGCCCAGAGGCGGAGTGATGTGCTCCCTGCCCAGGACTCCTGTGTCACTTTTTTAGGTCCATGGTGAGCATATGTTGTACCTACCTGCCCAGCATCCACTACTCCTTTTACGGGCTCATAACACTGATTATCCTCGGCAACCATCCCACCCCCAATTCTTTGTCCTCAAAGCTAGTGACACGCCTGATGACCTCAGGCCTGGCCAATCAGAACACCACATGCCATGGTCAAGGGACCAGGCTCTGGGAAGGACATGTGATGCAATCGGACCCTCTGGGAATCAATTCCTGAAAACCTATTTTTTGTTCCCTTAAACACCAGCACTGCTATGATGTAAGCCCAGGGCTGCTGGCAGCCACCTGGTCTCCATGTGGAGTCTGTGAACGATGCCAACCCAGAGGAAAGCAGAGCCAAGAGACAGGAGAGGCAGATTCTCAAGGATATCATCGGAGGCCCTGGATCTAGCCATACCTGAAGGCAGTGCTGCCTGAGAAACCTCTGCATTCAGGGAGAAGGGCCCACTTGCCCCTCTGCCCTGGCCAGGGGGAGATAAAAGACAAAAAGTCTTCTGCAGAAAGCCCCCTCGGGAACACCTCTAGGCCCAGCCCAGTCTCGAGGCCGCCAGGTCCTCCCTTGGGCAGCTCAGGAGGCAGGGGTGTGACCTTGGGGGACCCGGAGGCCGCACAGCACATGAGTCATTGTTTTCCAGACTTTTCCACCCAGAAAGTGGACTCGAGGAAGACACAAAGGAGGGAGGCTAAGCAGGACAGCTGTTTTCCAGATAACGCCAGCTTCCCCTTGGCACCACGGAGCAGCTGTTTTCTCTCCATTTCTCATTCCTGGCTGCTTTAAAATCAAAGAGGCCCAGAACAGCTCCCTCATGTGTGCCTTCGCCTTAGCCCTGGGCTGCTGTCTGCTCCCACACTGTCACGTGGCCTGCCCTGGGGCTCCGTTCTGGTCCTACGCAGTCAGCCCACACCCTGCCCCCCACCAAAAAAAAAAAAGGGTAACAGGAAAGAAGTCCCTGCACCGGAGACCAACTCAGGGAAGCGGATGTGATGAGAACCCTGAGGAAGGGCCCCCTGAGCTTGGAGTTTGTCCTGGGGAACCCTGGGAAACTTTGGAAGAGCAAATTCAGAGAGGAGGAAGAAATCCGACTTAACACTTAGCGAGAACTTACTACGTAAACTGAAAACCAAACCAGTTGCCATCAAGTTGACTCTGACTTATAGCAACCCCATGTGCGTTAGAGTAGAACTGCGCTCCGCAGCGTTTCCATGGTTGCGACCTTTCAGAAGCAGATTGCCAGGCCCTTCTTTCAAGGTGTCTCTGGGCATGTTAACCATTTGCAACACCCAGGGGCTCCATCAAATGCTTAATTCGTTGCTGTCAAGTCGATTCTGATTCATAGTGACCCTATAGGACAGGGCAGAACTGCCCTATAGGGTTTCCAAGGCTGTAATCTTTATGGAAGCAGATTGCCACATCTTTTTCCCTCAGAGTGGCTAGTGGGTTTGAACTGCCGACCTCTCGGTTGAGAGCCAAGTGCTTAATCACTGTGCCACCAGGGCTCTTTATCAAACGCTAACTAGGCAGCAAACCCTATTCCTGGTACTGTATGGATCCCATGGCTTTGTAGTCTCAGAACTACCCAGTGAGGAAGGTGTCCCCATTTTAGAGACAGGCAGGGAAGTAACTTGTCCCAGGCCACTCCGGGGGACAGGTGTCCACCGGGGATTTGAGCCCAGGCAGGGTGAGTCCACATTTCTGACTGGTACAGACAGTTAAGCACTTGGTTACTAACCAAAAGGTTGGCTGTTTATATCCATCCAGAGGCACCTCGGAAGGAAGGCCTGGTGACCTACTTCCAAAAACTCAACCATTAGAAATCCTATGGAGCACAGTTCTACTCTGACACACACGGGGTCACCATGAGTCAGCATCAACTCCATGGCAACTGGTTTTGTTTTTTGGTTTTTAGGGTGAGTCCACAGCCTGCTCTCTTCCCTATTTTGTCACCCCTAACCAAGAATTACTTGTCAAGATTTGCCCTTCAGATTTCACATATAATCTGAAATTTTGGCTTTTCCCGAAGAAGAGAGCGAGGGCTCTGTTTCCACATGGTGATTAATGTTTGCAGCTGAGAGAGCGATCCAAGGGCCCCGCTGGGCCCCTTCCCCTGATTTATTTACCCACCTGGCCCTTCTAGATCGTTTCCAACCCCAGACTGGGAGGAAATCACTCTGCCCCTACTCACCTTGTTGTGTCCAAGGCCCGGATGACAGTCGAGAGGAGCCGGCCATCCCTTGAAGTCACCTGCGCCACGTACTGGGGTGGTCCCAGGCCCGTGGCCTCCAGGACCTTGGAGAAGGCGGGGCTGCTGGAGCAGTCACACAGGGAGCCAGGAAGGTGGCAGCAGTCGCCCGTCGTCATTGCCACAGGGAGGCCCACGTCCTCAGGGCGTGAGGCCCATGGTCCCAGGAGCCTGGGGAGAGGCTGGCGGGGAGGTTAAGGGCAAAGTTTTTGTGAGCCAGACAGATTGGGCTTCAACTCCAGCTCTCCGGACCACAGACAAGGACTTGCCTCTCTGAGCCTCAGTTGCCCACTATGTAAAATGGGGCTCCTGGGGGGCTGTGAGGATTCAGTGAGATGATGCATGCGGCAGCCTGGCGCATAGTAGGGCTCAGTTACTAGTACTCCTAACTCTCCCAAGAAAAGCCAGCCAGGGTCCTGCCTCAAAGCAGCTCCTCCCCAGCCCACAGGCCACCTTCCAACCTCAGCTTTCCAGACACAGTAAGGGCACCTGTCACTGAGCACCAGTTATATGTATATGCCAGGCCCTGTGCTTGGCGCTTCTTGGGGCCAGAGCTGCCCAGCTCTCCCACCACGTGGAGACTTTGCGGACTGGATTCCGCTGCTGTCCTGGGGCCAGGCTCAGAGCGTCTGGGCCTGCCTCTGAGTGGAGAAGAACTCAGCTAGGAACTTGGCTCAAAGACCTGAACTGTCAGTCATCTTGACCTTCTCAGAGGGCTCTGAACTCCCTGACTCAGACACCCCCGGCCACCAAGCAAGTGGCACAGGCTGGCGAGGACCGTGGTGGCCTCTGTCCCCCAGAAAGGCTGCTTGCAGCCATGCCTCGTCCCTGAGGGGAGGGCATGGGAGACAGTTGGTGTCTCAGGCAGAAATTCTGAAGTCTGCTCTGGGTGTGGAATTTCGGGATTCTGCCCCCCACCCCAGGGTCAGACCTGCAAAAAGGAACCCCAGAGAACCTCCTCCTCTATCCTAAGCCAGCCAAGGAGACTTGAAGTAGGGCTTCCCATTCCCGGGATACGTGTCACGAAAGGGACAGAGATCTATTCAGATGCCCTTTGATGTCAATACAGGTGCCCCGGAGCTGAGGCAGGTCCCTGGGTAGTGCACACGGATTGTGCTCGAATACTAATTGAAAGGTTGGTGGTTTGAACCTACCTGGCAGCACCATGGAAGAAAGGCCTGGAAATCTGCTTTTGTAAAGATTACAGCCAAGAAAACCCCATGGAGCAGTTCTATTCTGTCCCATGGTGTGGCTATGAATCGGAGTTGACTGGAGGACTGTTGGTTTGGTTTGGTTTGGAGCTAAAGCTCTCTCTCCCCAACCTGGCTAACCTCTGGGCCTCTGTCTCTAGGAGTGATGGTCCAGAGACCCCCAGCAGCCCCCAGAGTGTTTAGAAACCAAAAGCAAGGGGGCCAGTCAGTACATCCACCCCACAGTCGGCATTTACCAACCCCTGCTGGTCACAACCTGAGACCCACAGAGAGAGGGGGACCAAGCAGCATTAGCTATTGACTAATTCTTTGCACCAGGACATTCTGTGACAGATCAATGCCCTCTGACCGGCTCAGCCAGAAGTGCGCCTGGCCCAACAAGGCCTTCTGAGGCACCACACTTGGCCAGTGAAGACCAGATAAGCAAGTAAGGGCCCAAAAGCAGGAGGAGCCCACAAGTAAGGCTGCAGGCCTGAGATAAGAGCCGCAGGGCAGCGGCCAGGCCTGCCATGGCACGTACACTGCTGTCCCTCCCGAGTGCCTGGAGCCAGAACTTCGGGCTCAAGGTCAGTGGGGCAGCCACTGGGCTCTTCCAGGGAATGCTTGTAGAGGGGGGTCCATTCCTCCCACCCCTCCAAGGATCAGCTAACTTCTGCAAATATTGGGGAGTCACCCAAATATATGGGAGGATCTAACATTTATTTTAAAAAAATACCAAACCCACTGCTGTCCAGTGGATTTCAACTCATGGCAACCCTATGTGTTACAGAGAACTGCTCCATAGGGTTTTCTTGGCTGTAACCTTTATGGAAGGAGTCCTGGTGGCACAATGGTTAAGTGCTTGGCTGTTAACCAAAAGGTTGGTAGTTCAAACCCACCTAGCGGCTCCGCAGGAGAAAGACCTAGCGATCTACTCTTGGAAAGATTCCAAAACCAAACCCATTGCCGTTGAGTCAATGCCTACTCATAGCTACCCCATGTGACAGAGTAGAACTGCCCCATAAGGTTGCCAAGGCTGAAATCTTTATGGACTGCCATATCTTTCTTTCATGGGGTGGCTGGTGGGTTTGAACCCCCAACCTTTTGGTCAACACCCGAGCACTTAACCACTGCACCACCAGAGCTCTTTCCATGAAGATTACAGCCTAGAAAACCCTATGGGGCAGTTCTGCTCTGTCACATGGGGTTGCTATGAGTCAGAATCCACTCGACAGCACCTAAAAACAACAACACAATCTTTATAGAAACAGATTGTCGGGTCTTTCTTCTGCAGTACCGCCATTGGATGGGTTCAAACCGTCAACCTTTAGGTTAGCAGTTGAGCGAAAACCACTTGCACCACCCAGGGACCAAACCATTCCTTTTACTATCACAGAAAAAAAAAAAAAAAAACACACTTGGAAATCTGCTAATGCAAGACCCCACAAATCACCAAAACAATAATAGCAACTATTGCTCATTAATCAGTCTTAAAGGAAGTACAGCCAAAATGCTTCTCAGAAGCAAGAATGGCAAGACTTCATCTTGCTTACTTTGGACACGTCATCAGGAAAGACCAATTGCTAGAAAAGGACATCATGTCTGGCAAAGTAGAGGGTCACTGAAAATGAGGGAAACCCTCAATGAAATGGATTGACAGAGTGCCTGCAATGATGGGCTCAAACACAGCAACGATTGTGAGGATGGTGCAGGACCAAGCAATGTTTCTTTCTGTTATACATAAGGTTGCCATGAGTCTGAGCCGAACTGACACCAAATAACAACAACAATAACATTGTTTATTAAGTACTACTGCACGCCAGGTAGGAATCCCTGGGTGGTGCAGTCAGTTAAGCACTTGACTACTAACTGAAAAGCTGATGGTTCAAACCTACACAGAGGTGCCTCGAAAGACAAGCCCGGTAATCTACTTCTGAAAAGTCACAGCCTTGAAAACCCTATGGAGCAGTTTTATTTGGCACACGTGGGTCACCATGAATTGGAATCAACTGGTTTGGTTGGGTTTGATTTTTAGCCTGCCAGGTACTGTGCTAAGCAATCTGCATATATATTAATCATCTCACTGAACTCTACACGGTTGTTTTAAGTGTCCCCTTCAAAGGTCACTTCCCTGTAGGGGCCTCCCCCAACCATCCTGGCTAAAGTGTCACCAGGGTTCAGATTACTCCCTTCAGAGCACAGGTGACCCTCTGAAAGGCTCTTGTTTGTCTCCTTGTCAACCATGTCTGTCTTCCCGCTCTTCAGTGAGCTCTGCCAAGGGACCATATTGGACTTGGTCCCCACTGTCCCCAGCACCTAACACCTGTCTGGCACAGAGTTGCTGCATTAATTTCTCAGTTCCTACTCTGGTGCAAACTATTTGCACTCATCTACTAACCTAAAGGTTGGCAGTTCAAACCCATCCAGTGGTGTCACTGAAGACAGACTTAGTAATCTGCTTCTATAAAGATCACAGCCAAGAAAACCTTATGGAGCAGTTCTACTCTGTAACACAGGGCGTCTCCATGAGTCAGAATCAACTCGACAGCAATGGGTATGGGTACTCTGTATAAGAACAGAGTGGGAAAACCAGGTCCCTTGACCCCAGACCCTGGTCTGCCAGCCTCCATGGCAGGAATCAGAGAGGTTTAGAGGCTAGAGGTCCAAAGTTGCTGCAGAGGCCTGGGCTTGGACAAGGCCATACCCAAGGCTGGGTGTTAAGGATAGGAGCAGCTGCAAGTTGGACTCAACTCTGGGGCTGCTGGGATGGCAGAACGAGCTAACACCTTGGGCAGACTTGGCCCAGTGCCTGGGAGATGGATTTCACTGATTCTTCACAACAAACCTATGACATAAGTCTGATAATTGCCTCCATTCGACAGAGGAGGAGACTGAGGCCCAGAAAGGGGCAGCTACTTACTTCTTAACTTACACAGCTAGGAAGGGACAGTTCAGTGAGTGAGTATATATGTTAATCATCATGAGATCTGGATCCTTAAGTCCTGGCTCTGCCGCTGACGCTGTGTGAACTGGGATATGTCACTTAGCTCCTCTGGGCCTCATCCTCCTCCTTTGTCAACCTGATGGAGTCAGTGGACTTGGAAGCTCACTCTTCCTTGGCTAGGTCTGGGGGCCCACAACCTTTCCACACCTGCCCAGCCTCCTGTTCCTGAGGGCAGAGAATTGGGGGAAGAGGACTCAGAGGGCCCTAACACCCCACAGTGTGATTTCAGACAACTGCTTCACCCTCTGAGCCTCAGTTTCCTCATCTGTAAAACGGGGTCATAATGTTACCCAGCTCATAAATCAGTAAATATTAAGAAGCCAGTAAACATTAGCTCTTATTATAATTACATCATCAGCTTAAGGAACTGTTGGGAAGGCTTGATAAGAAGAAGCACAGCCAGTGCCTGGCACACAGTAAGTGCTCAATAAATGCTTTGCTGTGTACTATCCGGATGATTTCTGATTCATGGTGACCCCATGTGTTACAGAGTAGAACTGCCCTATAGAGTTTTCTAGGCTGTAATCTTTATGGGAGCAGATCACCAGGTCTTTCTCCCACGGAGCTGCTAGGTGGGTTTGAACCACTGAATTTTCGATTACGGCCGAGCACTTGTGCCATCAGCAGTCCTCAATAACTGCTATGATTTTTCAGGGTAGCTGTGGAGCCGGCAAAAAACGTTCATTCATCATCACTCACCAGCAAGGGGCTCCTGTGTGCCCTGTGGCCACAGAGAGAGTGACACCAATACCGCCTTCAGTACTTCCCTGGCCCTGCATCTGAGGCCAGGTTCTAATTCCAGCTCTCCTCTTTATTTGCTGTGTGGCCCTGGGCAAGAGACTTAACCTCTCTGAGCACCATTTCCTCATCTGTAAAACAGGGAAGATTTCTAGTACTTCCCCTCTTCTGGTTCCTAGAGGACCCTGTTGTGTTAGGTGCTGTCCAGTGGATTCCATAGGACAGAATAGAACTGCCCTATAGGATTTCCTAGCCTATAATCTTTACGGGAGCAGATCGCCAGGTCCTTCTCCCGCAGAGCCACTGGGTAGGTTCAAACCACCAACCATTCGGTTAGCAGCCAAGCGGTTAACTATTGGGCCACCAAGGCTCCTTTAGAGGGCTGAATGAGTGAATAATATAAATTCTGGCCACTCTGTCACAGTGCCTGACACATATACTTACTATTTAGCCCCTGAAGGAGAAGGCTGGGGAGAACACTGACCACTTACTGACCACCTACTGAGTGCCGGGCGCTTTACACATGCGCCAGCTCCCGGATCCTCCCGACCTCGTTTCACAGAAAGAGAAACTGAGGCTCTGCGAGGCGCCTACTGAGTGTCAAGTTTCGGGGACCTCCTGCCGCCCTCGCTACGGGAATAGCGGCCCTCGCGCCCCGGGGGAGGCCGAGGCCGAAGGTCCGAGCCCGGCCGTCCCGCGCAGGGGGCTTTGAACCCGGGCCGGCCCACAGACCGGCGTCCCCCGTCCCCCGTCCCCTCCCGCCGTCCCGGCCTACCTGATCCGCGGCC